ATCCTGATAGCGAAGCTTGGTCGGCGTGGCTTTCTCAAGCATTCAGCCCGAAAGCAACGGTCGAGGCACTTTCCGACAGCGGCGGTTCAAGGTGCGCTGGTGTTGACAGCAAGTTGGTGGTAAGCGTGGACAAAATGATCAAGTCTGCTGGAGATCAGGCGAGTGAAGTCGCCCTTGAGGTTCAAGGTCGGAAGGGCATCAAAGGAAGACACATAATATTCACGGTTCTGGAGAGCTTTCGTACGTACGACAGACTCGATCTTGTTTTCGGAGTGGAACACTTGCACTAGTTGACCTATCCCGGTGACAAGAAGATGGGAGATTTCAAGCAGCGGTGGCTTGAGCCACAAGAGGAGGAGTTGAGAGACACGCTGTATCGAAAGCTGAACGGAAATTCAAAGGAGCTGGAATTGGACTTGAAACTGTACGAACACATGGAGCGTAGTGGTCCCGCGAAAACGCATAAGTATTTGCTCAACATGATTGATCGGCGGGTGAAAGCAACCAGGGAAGAAAAGAATTGGGAAAACAAGGAGAAGTCGCTCAAGATTTTCAAATTGGGCAACGCGCTTCCCTCTCCCAAAGAAAAGGTAAAGTTCAATCCGAAGGCGAAGTCGGAGGCAAAGGATGCCCAAAATTCGGCACCTGTTCTTCCTGACACGAAGACCATGGGGGAGGTCACCTTCCAAAACCCGAGATCCTTCCCCTGGTGGTAACAAGAATGTTCCATGCCAACTTCATTTCTTTTGTGGGAAGCGCATGAAAGGATCCAATTACAAATGCAGCCATCAGAAGGGTGCTTACACTGCAGAATGGAAGAAGAAGTTCGAAGAGGGTCCCAAGCGCCCCAGCCAGGGAGCGTCCCAAGAACGATGGAATTTGTTCATTCTGGAAGAAAGGGACATGCAAGAAAGGGAAAGATTGCAAGTTCAAGCATCCGGCGCCGGCGGAGAAATCCAAGAAGAAGAAAAAGAAGAAGAAGGCGAAGGCTGCCCAGGTGATGTCCACGGGTTCCTTGTGGGAGGATTCTCAGAGTGAAGCTGAGTCGACCTTCAGCGAAGAGGAAATTGTGGATGGAGATGCTGAGGCCGAATGCGCTCCCGCGACCCCGAGAGCCAAGCAATATCACTCCAAGAAGGAAGAAGACAAAGAGCGTGGTTTTCCGGGATTGGGTTGAGTACGATGATGGTGATGTTAGCAATCAAGAGTTTCCTGAGAGACATCGCAGAGAAGATCATGGAAAGAAGGGGGTAAGCACTGAGTTCTGGCAGCCATCAGGGCCGCAAAAGTTGGTGAAACATGGGAAAACCATGTCCGTGATTTACAGACTTCCATCATCAAGGTACCCTTCCAGCAAATACAAATGGAGGTTGTTCTCATAGGGGAGAACTATGAGAAGATCGACTATGTGGATAGAGCTCGGAAGATGTCCCTGTTCTCGGCGATTTCGCATCCAAGAGAAAAACCCAACACGCAATCGCCCAAAAGGATGAAATGGCTCATGGACACCGGATGCAGCCACGACTTGATCGGGTTGAAGGCGGATAAGCTAGGTCTTAGTCCGAGGATGAGTTCAGAGGCGATGACCTTTATGACGGCGAACGGTATCACCGAAACCGATCAAAAGGTTGACCTTGTCATAGACGAAACGAAGGACACGATTTCGCCTTTCGTGGTGGAAGAATGTGCTGACAGCGGGTATGGTTTTCTGTGGATTTGGTTTGTTATTTAGTTTTTATTATGGTTTTCTGTGGATGCCTGGCGAAGAACCTGTCATGTTCGATGATCGCATGTCTGTCATACGCCTTCGTGTCAAGGATCACACTCCTTACCTGGTAACCCAATGATGAAACGGAGCACGCGCTTTGGGGAAACTCACAGAGTCAGCTCTTGGTATCTTGGATATCCCGAGGATCATGTGGTGGATCCGTCTGGACGATTGACTTCATCGCCGGACGAAACACCAATTGCGGTGCCGGCAGAGGAGCCCGGCGAGGTAGAGGAGGGTGATACGGATGAAAGGGACGAAGGTGGCGAAGATGAACACGAGGTCGATGTCGAAGCTGCAAGGGGCGTGAAGAGGACGTTGGAACACATGGTTACCCACAGGTTCGCAAACCCTTATTGTGATGCGTGTGTCCGAGCAAAGACGTGGGGGGGCCTTGTGACGTTCGATTTCCTAACACCAGAAAGAGTAGGACAACTGGGAAACGAGACTGACACCAATGTCTTCGTTGTGCGCGACGTATATTCTGGGGTGAGGATGGCGTATCCCATTTCGGGGTTCCACGGATGAGGTTGTCAGATGTTTGAAGGAGTTCGTGTTGCTTATGGAGATCACGCACCTCAGTTTGTCAGTGCATGTCAGCAGCTGGGGATAGCGTTTGATCACTCGCTGCCCAACCGACCCATGAACAACTTCAGCACTTGTTTGTTGGCTGCGACCTGGTACCATATGCGTGGTGATCATGAGTATACCAGTCGGTCAAACCCTCTTCCCACAAGAGATGACACGCACAAGTTTGCGCCCAAGTCAATTCGCGGGTTATGAACTGGAAAGTGGAGTGAGGTGGAGGCATTGCAGGAGGTGTTGACGACGATGGGAACGGCGATGACGATGATCCCGGAAAAGGTGATTCGCACGTCGGCGGAGGGAGTGCCAAGGACAGGTCGAAAGCGATTAAGGAAAGGTTCGGTATTGATGATGCGGTTGGAGATGTTGATTCAGCCGTCGAACCGGACAAGAAGACCCTGATCGTAAAGGAACGGCGCACAAAGGGGCAAAGGGTGACATCCCAATGCCCGCTGGCCTCGAACCGGGCTACCATAGGTGGAGTCGGAGGGACGAAAGGGCAATTGTGTTCCCACGGACGCCAAAGGGGGCCCAAATAAAAAGATGTTGTAGCACGACTGTCAACAGCGAGACGGCTGAAGTGCTTGATTGCATCAGTATCGATCCGAAGAAGGGGGAAGACTTCCAAAGGACGGTGATCAAGGCTTGTGCTGAGGTCTTGATCGACACGTATTCGCTGACGCGGAGCCTCCCAAAACGCGAACACGTCAGCAAAGGGAAAGCTAGCGATGGGATTATATATGCTGATGATAAGGGGGGGAGGGTGAAGCTAGATGTTAAAGGAACTCCCTACAAGGTTGGGATTGCTGAGCGAAGGGCCTGCAAGATTTCTGGGCCTCCCGATGTGTCCAGAGGAGTGGAAGAAGATGTCTCATGTCGATACAATGATGTGGGAACACGCAGCCACCGAAGCTGAAAAGGATATCAAAGAGGGACTGGAAAAGAGCCTCAAGAAGGCCGAAAAGGAAGCTGAAAAGTTAAAGGGCAAAGCCAAGAAGTCGAAAGATGGCAAGGATGCTGCGGCGGCGAAGGAGAGCGCCAAAGACGCTAAGAAGTTGCGTAGAACAGTCCTGAAGAGCGTTCAGAAAATCGACAGTGCCAATGATAGAAACATCCGTTATGGCCACCCTTGACGCAGGGACATTCTGGGAAGCATTGCCACAAAGGGGTAACGGCAGTGGGTTTTGAGCCTGTGGGGGTGGAATGGCCATCCGTCTACGACTTCAAGAGGGAATCTGAAGAAGGGATGGAATCTCCTTCGCGCCAAGCTTGAGATCGAACCTGGAACGGGTCTCGGTTTATACTTGGGTTGCAATCAGGTCAAAGGAACTGCTAAGTTCGGTGGTGTCCAAGTCAACACAGTAACCTATGATATGGAAGAATTCCTTGAGATGTCTGTTCAGAAGTACAGGGATATCATCATCGGGAACCATGTCAAATTGAAAGATGCCAAGACTCCGTCGCTTCTGGAGGGGACGGATGAGACGGATGCGCAGCCGCTCGTTCAAGGGGAACCTGCGCCCCTCATGCAGCTAGTGTGCTCATGAAATTGCTATACGCGGCGCGTCATGTCACCAAATGGAGCAATCAGGACGACAAGCGACTGCATCATTTGGTGTGTTACGTCAATTGCTCCAAAAGAAAGAAGTTGGTCGGGTGGGTTAGCCTAGCGATCCATTAGACCAGGTTCAGGTGGCCATGTACGCAGACGCGGATTTCTTCGTTCCACTTCGGGCTGTCAAGTGAACTTGCATGGCAAGAACACTCGCTTTCCGTTGGTGGGAAATAGCAAGCGACAATCTTGCTTTCTCGCACGCTTTCGTTCTTTCTTCATGTTACACGCTTTCTTTTTGCATCCGCCGTCTGACCTTCCAAAGCTATCTGCAACAGCTATCTTTTCGCACGCGCTATCTTATCTTCTGGTTCTACCTATGTACACAAGCTACCTTTCAATTAGCTTCTCTATTACGGAAGTTCCTTCTAAACTTCCTTTGCTAATAGTGGCATCCAACCAAGAACCTTGAGCAGATTGTTGACATCTGCTCCTCGCAGCATTGATCTTCAACACCACACGCCAGTTCTACAAGTGAATGACAATGGCGCTAATAGCAGTCATTCTGCTTGTCCGGTGAGCGCTGTGACAAATTGGCAGAAGTAGGTCATAGCAGGTCATAGCAGGTCTTTCAAAAGACAAACAGTCTAGGCGAATAAACACGATGCGAAGCGTTTGGTCAGTTGGTCAATAATTGCTCACTCGCCAATGTTTTGACAGCTTGCTCACCTTCTCCTTTATTCCTGGAAGGTCAGGGCAAAGAGTGCCACCCATGAGGTCCTCTTTTGCCTCTGGTTGACGCTATGCCACCAGCCCAGCGCATCTTGCCTGTTCAGGCCAATCAAGGGATCTCACGCGATCTAGCTGTTTGGTTTCGGACTCAAGTTAATGTCAGAAGGCGCTTGCCTTGGCAATGCGCAAGGCCGCAAGGTAGCAAGCCCTGCCATGAATACAGCAGAGGGTTCATTCAGTCCGTGAAAGTATTGCTTGCGTCGGGTTCGTGTGTGTGTGTGTGTTTGCACGTGGGCCTATCTACATGATCGAGGGTTTGGCTCCGTGAATTGCGGCAGCTTGTTTTGCAATCCGATTTTCGAGGCGATACCAGCTTTTTCCAGACAATGCGACCAAAGCATCGCCCAGCATGGTTTACTGATGCCGTACTGCACAAGCTTCGTGGCAAGGAGAAGGCAGCCCGAGGGGCCTGGAAGAAGCAACTGCAGGAAGACCCGGCAATGCGAGGTGTGCTGCTGTGGCAATTGTCAACGCTGGCCCAGACAGTGCAGGAGATTCTGACCGAGCTCGATTTTGTTCAAGACGGTCCCTTTGCTGCCAACCCCGGCTCGCCTTTGAGATGGCTTGACGTGAATATGTACCATGTTTGTCAGCACTTCATTTTGCCAATGACCAAAGAACAGGAGTGCTCCTACGTAGAGCTGGTAGCCTCCGATCTTCAACCCCCAGAATGGATGGTGTCTCATGCTTGGAGCACTCAGTTTGCTGCGACGGCTAGCATGCTCGCTAAGCACTCAAGCTCCCGCAACCAGGAAGAGGACTCCGCTCACTCCTGGAAGCAGACATCGTACTGGTGCTGCACCCTGGCCAACAATCAACACGATTTGTCTCCTTTGCGGGAGGCAGACTTATTGAAGACTCCGTTTGCGCGGGTTCTATTGAGCAATGCATGTGCTGGGACAGTCCTCCTTTGCGACACAGTCCGGCTCTTATGCACAGGGAACTTTGTTGCTGGATGGAGGCTGGTTTGTCAGGCAGAGGCTGAGGCATTTGGCCATTTCCACACTACAGTAAATCCGCCACCCGACCCCTCCAGCTCTCAGCTCACTCGTCTCAGAGGGGACCGGCGCGCTATACTATACAATTATGAGATATGTAGCAGCGGGACACCCGTTGTTTTGCTCACACACAGAGGGAATGCCACGATGGCGGTTCAACATTAAAGATTCAAGTAGGCTTAAAGACGAGAGGTGAGCAATTGCAATTTATCGCATTTGAATTGGTTCTCGCAGGTACGTCGAGGTATTCTGGCCAGGTCGCAAAGATTATCGATCACGCAGCTTTGGCCGCCGATCAGCTGGGGGCGCTAATGGAATTCCGCGCGTGTCCATGAACCTTTCCTTGTGAACACTTAACCGATGGGCGTGAAAACAAACAAAACGAAAAGGATTTAAAGGAACCGCAACGAGGTGGCCAATTCATACAAGTTGGTCAAAGCAAGTTGGAGTCGAAAGAGATCGGGTGGGCTCAGAGTAGCTCTGGGCCGGTAAGCCGTCGGTTGTGACCGCGAATAGGCCGTGAGACGGGCTGCGCTCTCGAATGCACCAACGCTTGTCCTTGCCGGCTGAGCGGGCGATCTCATATCCGCGGGCGAGCTTTTGCACTCTCCAGCCGTTTGCCTTTGACACGCACACTGGCCGGCCTTCGCGGGCGCGTCTCAACACTTTGTCCACTTTCAAAATTCCGACGCGGACACGCTTTTGATAGTCAGCAATTAAAACAACTGTTGGTGATTGGAGGAAGTGGGGCGAATTCAATGCCGCGTTGCTCATTGCTGAGTTTGCCTGTCAGGCTGTCGTACAGGTCTTGGGGGCCTGCGCGATGCCATCGCCTGATTTCGGAGCCTCTTGCAAAGTTGGCGGAATCTTGAATTTCCCACGCACACACATTTTTCGTTGCAAATGTCTTCATGCAAACGCTGCCGTCGAAAATTCTTCGTTGTAAACGTCTAACCTCGAATCCGGATGAGGGGGCCGCTGAAGGGCCCGCTATAACAAAACATGTTCCCGGAGATTATTTCTGATGTCCTATAGTTGTGTAAGGATCAGCCCGGCGACGGCCGAAAGTGCTTGGGCTGGATGGTGTTCACGGGGCTTGGGAAGCCGGATCTGAGGCGCAGTTGAATAGAACAGGCTGACTCGTGTCCACCCCGCACTGATATAGCAACTACGGTAGCGCGTTGAATTCTGCAGGCGCTTAAAGGGCAAATATGTGGTGGCTGCTCGTTGCTTGAGGCCGTCACGCCTTTGCGACGCGCCCTTTCCTCAGCTGCAAGAAAGGCATGACATGCGGAATGCGCTGTGCAACGGTGTTGTGCTGCGTCGCAACGTGGTGTTTTGTTGCACCCAGGTTTGGTGTGTCTTCGAAGCTCATTTGACGCAGCTGCTGCGGTCTGGACATGCCAAGCTCAGCAACAAGTGCAGTCACTTCATGGACTTGGTCGCTTTTCACGAGGGCCAAAGTGTTTCGGAGTCTGTGGCAATATTGCAAGATGGGCTGGTCGGCTGGCATGAAATCTCCGCCGGGCTTGCTCGCTTTCCATTGGAGGTGGCGCGTGTGGGAACAACTGTGGATGTTCGCATGGCGCAAGCGACACTGCAATGTGACAGGCGCGCCATAATGAACCACATCGCTTTTGGAAAGGCGTCGCAAGACGTTCCAGCAATTGACCACAGCTCGTACGATGAGCTGAACGTTTTCGTTCACAGTGCCTTTGCATCTGCAGAGCTTTACCGCTTGGCCTGTGAACGACCTGCAGGATGTGTTGAGAGGGCGCGGGAGCTCTTGGCTATGGGCGCAGATCCCAACAGCTTTGTGCGCGAAGGCAACACTGCCATATTGGCGCTGGTTGGCGCTGATCCTACACAGCCAACACCTGCAGATTTGCCATTGCTTCAAGAGATGGTTTCTTTGCTTGTTGCAAGCGGGGCAAGGCTGAACCACGTCAACTCGCACATGCAAACGGCTTTGGATCACATCATTGCCACGGACGAGGCATCGCCTGCGGCTGTGTTCCTTAGAAGTCAGGGCGCGGTGTCCTTCGAGGAGTCAGCTTCCGCAGCCGAAGAGCTCTGGAATTCGCGCATCAAGGCAGTACTTCGTCGAGGTGGCTTTGGCGCGCCAACAGACGAAGACCGATCACACAGCAAGCCCACGCAGGCGTTTGGCGGCGCAGGAGGGGGTGGGTCAGGAGCAAAACTGCTAGGCCGTGCTGAGCAAAGTTTGCGTGAGGTTGCCTCGCTGACCAAGATCTACCCGGCATCAGTTTGTTCTATCGAGACACCCTCTGGTCCACATGACAAGCTGGGGCTGCGTGGAAAGGCTGTGCTTGCAGCTTTAAAAGCGGCAGGCGCGCCAAATCCGTTCGAATTACGCAGCCTGACATGCAGCTTAGTCTTTGTTCGCTAGCATGCTACAGCTGTTGGCTTTGTTTGACGGACATTTTAGAATTTGCGCAAGCACGTGTTCTGGCCATCTAAGGCTGCTCTGGGCCATACCATCCTCGTGGTTCTTTGCCATTGTTGCGCGTGCAGATCAGCCTTGTTGACAAGTCGAATCCAAGCGAAGCACAGGCGACGAATCGAGGACTTCAGGACGTGACCTCGATTGCCACCTTGCCGGAGCGCGCGCTGAGTCTTCGGCGAACATCAGCAAAAGGGAAACATATTGATGTATTAGATATTACATTGTCACAGATTGTTTGCTGTGAGTTGGGATTGAGGGAGAAATATGCTGATACAAGGTGGAATTTGCGATTTTGGGATTGGAATGGTAGTATGACATTATGGAATAGTAGTATTTAGTATGACAAAATATTGCATTGAGATTTATCTGTGCAATTTTATGGTGATGGTTTCTCTGTGTTTATATAATTGATATTTGAACAAATATTGAGATTAAATGGAATTAGGGAAGAATTGAATGTATGTTTTTAGTTGGTTTTGTTTGATTGGTAAATTATATATATATTTCAAATTGATATTATGGTTCTTGAATAGGATTTGGAGAATTGATAATTAATGATATTGATATTTTAAGATATTGGGAATGGTGGGATTGATATGTTGGGATTGGTGTTGATGGAGTTGGTCAGGCTTGATTCGGGCCCAGCGTCTCTACTAAGTGTGTTTGGTGAAAGATGGAGAGGAGATGGTTTTTGAATTGGTGTTTTTTTTGTTTTTTAGTGTGGTTGGTTACGGATAGGTATGTTAGGTTTTAGGAGATGTGGCTGATTGGTAAAGTGTGGTTGAATGAGTTGGGTGGTGTGTGGGAGGGTTGGGTTGTATTGTGGGTGCTGTTTTTTATTGTTGTTGGGGGTTGGGGGGTTCTGGGGGTGGGCGGGGAAGGGATATAGGGTGGCGGGGGATGCTGAGAGGGCGCAGGTTAACTGGATGCGGGGGGGTTGCGTGTGTGTGTGTGTTGGGTTTGGGTTTGGTGGCGTTTTGTGTTTGAGGGTAAGTGTGGTTGGAAGGGGTTTTAATTTTAGGGTTTTTTGTGTAGTGTTTGAAGGGGGGGGGTGTGTGGTGGGTTTTATATGCGATTGTGTTAGGGGGGTTTGGTTGTTGTGGGGGTGTAGGGTGGGGGGGGTGTGGTACTTGTTGATTTTTTTTACGTGGATTTCTATACTTGTGTCCTGTTTGAGTGGGTATTTTGGTGAATAATTGTGATTGGTTATTTTTTTTGTTGGTATTTATGTTGGGGTTGCTGGCGGTGTGGGTATTGGGGTTGGGTGGGGGTTGGTTGTGTGGGGGGGGGGGGGGTGGGGTGGGGTGGTTGTGGGGGGGTGGGTTGGTGAGGGGGTGTGATGTGCGTGGTTTGTTGGGAGTGGGTGGGTTGGGAGGGAGGGGCGGGGGGGGGGTGGGAGGGGGGGGGGGGGGGGCGGGGGGTGTGGGGGGGGGGTGGGCGGGGGGGGGGGGGGGTGTGGGGGGGGGGGGGGGTTGGGGGGGGTGGGGGGGGGGGGGTGTTGGGGGGGGGGGGGGTTTGTGGTGTGTGTTGGTTGGATTAGGGGGGGGGAGTGTGGGAGGGGTAGGGTTGGTGTTTTTGTGGGTGGTAGGGGTTGGGCGGGGTTGGCTGCGTGGTGGGGGGTGGAGGGTGGGGTGGTGGGTGGAATGGGTGGGGGGGAGGGTGGGGGAGGGGGCGGGGGGGGTGGGGGGGGTGAGGGGGGGGGGGTGGGGGGGGCGTGTGGTGTTGTGTTGTGGGTTGGGTGGAATTTGTTGTTTGTAGGGGGGGGGGGGGGGGGGAGGGGGGGGGGGTGGTGGGGGGGGGGGAGGGGGGGGGGAGGGCGGGAGGGGGGGGGGGGGGGGGGGTGTGGGGGGGGCGGGGGGGGGGGGGGCGCGGGGGGGGGGTGGGGGGGGGGGGCGGGGGGGGTGCGGGCGGGGGGGGAGGGGGGGGGGGGGATGGGGGGGGGGGGGGCGGGTGGGGCGGGGGCAGGGGGGGGGGGGGGGGGGGGTGGGGGGGGGGGGGGGGTGGGGGGGGGGGGGGGGGGGGAGGGGCGGGGGGGGGGGGAGGGGGGGGGGTGCGGGAGCGGGGGGGGGGGGGGGGGGGGGGGGGGGTGGGGGGCGGGGGGGGTGGGGGGGGGGGGGGGCGGTGGGGGGGAGGGGGGAGTGAGGGGGGGGTGGGGTGGGGGGGGGGGGGGTGGGGGGGGGGAACGTGAAGTAGCCCCACCACCCACCACCCCCCACTTCTCAACCTATCTCTTCTTGAATATGCGTTTTGAGGGGGGGGGGGGGGAGGGGGGGGGGAGTGGGGGGGGGGGGGGGAGGGGGGGGGGGTGGGGGGGGGAGTGGGAGGGGGGGGGGGGGGGGGGGGGGGGGGGGGGGGGGGGGGGGGGGGGGGGTGGGGGGTGGGGGGGGGGGGGGGGGGGGGGGGGGGGGGGGGGGGGGCGGGGGTGGAGGGGGGGCGGGGGGGTGGGGGGGAGGGGGGGGGGGGGGGGGGGGGGGAGGGGGGGGTGGGGGGGGGGGAGGGCGGGGGGAGGGGGCGGGGGGGGGGGTGTGGGGGTAAGGGGTGGGGGGGGGGGGGGGGGGGGGGGGACGGGGGGGGGGGGGGGGGAGGGGGGAGGGGGGGAGGGGTAGGGTGGGGGGGGAGTGGGGGGGGGGGGGGGTGGTGCGGGTAGGGGACGGGGGGACGGGGTGGGAGCAGCTTCATGGGGGGGGGGGCGGCGGGGGGGGGGGGTGAGGGGGGGGAGGCGGGAGGGGGGGGGGGGTGGGGTGGTGGCGAGGCTAACAAAAAGGTGGAGGGGATGTGCTTATGTATGTGTTTTTGTATTGTTTTTTTTGCTTTTTAAGATCGTTGGAGGTAGTGTTGTTTTGTTTGGTTTGAGATTTTTTGTGTATTGTGGGTGGCTGAGTTTAATTTTGTTTGTGTGTTGATTTGTGGGTTTATGTTTGGTGGGCGGGGGGGGGGGGACTGGAGGTGGGAGGAGGAGGTGGGTCGGGGGGGTGGGTTGGGATTAGATTTGGCGGTTGTGTTATGCGGGGTGTCGGAGTGGTTTTATGGGGGTCGTTAGGGGTGTGTTTGTTTATAGATGTGGTTTTTGATATAATTTCAAATAAAAAAAAGAAAAAATAACAAAAAACAAAATAAATATATAAAAAGATACAGAGTAGAGTTTTATTATAATTTCAAAATACAGAGTATAGTTTTCATCCACCATATAAATAAGGAATCGTAGGAATCATTTTCCCTCATAAAAATATATATAAATTATAATTTTAAATAAATTTTTCCATCGATACAGCGAAAGAAGAAAGAAATACTAATATAATATGAGTCGTTTATACAAAAATTAGATTAAAATATTATTTTAAGATATCTGATACTAATTCATTTCATTACTTTTTATTGTTTTTTCATTTTGTTTTTTGTTTTTTGTTTGTCGTTTGTTTTTTTTTTTTATTTTTTTTTGTTTTTTGTTCTTTTTTTGTTTTTTTTTTATTTTTTTTTTTTATTTTCCAAACCGGAGGCTCTTTTTTTCGTAATTAATGTTTTGAGCTATATATTGACTCCGTAAATTATTATAAGTGCGTTTATATTCGGTATATTAGTATGTTGTTTTGCTAATAATAATATAATTATATATGTATTAAACAAAGATAGGTGCAACGAGATTGGAAAGCAGATATATCTATTATATCCAAGATTAATCATGGAAAACGATGCCAAAAAAAGGCCAACCCAAAAAAATTGAAGGATTTAATTTTTGCTATTTTCATCACTGCGCGCGTTTTGACTTTGGTCTTCCGTATTCTCTCTAAAACAAGAAAAGTTTCCATTTTAAATTTATGTTTTATTTATTCACATTAGAATATTTATTTTGTGTTTTTTAATATTTTTTTTTTTTCTTTATCATTTTGTTTAACGTAAATATATATTAAAAATATAGAAAGAATCGATAAATTTTAACGAATTTAACGCCAAGGAAGGCGATAAAAAAACGCCTCCCACCCTTCTTTGTCTTACTTTGAAGGAGGGCAGAGCCGAACGAATAAATTTAAGAGCAAAATAAACGCTAAATTTAAGCCGAAATTAAGAGAATAACGAACGACGTCCCCCCGACGAACTGCCCGACGAAATTAAGAGAATAACGAATCGAGGCCAATGGATTTCGGTATATCCAAAAAACAATATATTATTTATGCGGGCAATCAAAGCCCCCCCCTCACCCCATCTCCCCCCGCTCACGCTCCCTCATAGCAAACTCCCTCGTCCCCTGATCATTTTTTTCATCACCCCATACCCATTTACCCACTGCCCTCCACCCTCCAGCGTACGCCAAATTACGATGCAGAATTTGTTTTGTGATCGTAAGTCTATAATGCATAAATATGTCCATTAAGCGACAAATTTATGCCACACCACGCTTGTTACTAAGTTCCAGTTACACAATATGCATAATCATTATGAAAAATTTATGCCACACCAAAACACGCAATATTCTTTTGGTAGGGTGTGTCTTTTTATTTCATTAATAACATTCTTCAACATGATTTCGTGATTCTGCAATCGTAATTAATAAATCTCGGGCGAGCGAGCAGGACCGTGGTGCTCTTTGCCTTTGCTCCGCTACTCAATTAAAGACGGAACGTCGCGTTGAGCGCCGCGCTCACAACTTGGAAAGTGTTTGTTCGTTTACCAATTCTCGGCATATAGGCAGACACGAGACACTGTACGGAGGTGGCGCTATCATCAACACCTGATGAGCTGAGCTGACTGCCCAAGAACCATAAGCTATGGTCAGCGACTACGGCCCATACTCCCAGGTCCCGTGCATGACACCTCCCGAAAACACAGTGGTGCTGATCCCAGAAAGCGCTTTAATTTAATGGGGGGGGGACAGTGCCACGACGTCCTCCCAGACTCACAACCCCACCACAAGCCTGGACTGCTTACGCCGTGTGGAGTGCGAAGGAACGCATAGATCGCAGTCTAAGAGTCCACTGCCCCTGACACATGTACTGCATTAGCGGGCTGCCTCCGCAAGGAACATTCAAACACGGCACCGAAATCGACCACTCACGCACGGCAATAAGGGACGTGGGAAGTCACGTGCATGGTGCCATAGAGTGGCGCGGCCTCCTTTTTTAGCGGCTCGAGCCCAGTATGCAGCATTCAGGTCCAAACAGTCTCTCGGTCCGCCATCATCTATGGCGCGGAGGTCTTGCCACATTTGCCGTCTTAGGTGCGCTATGAAGATGGCAGTCTAATTTGGCAGAAATCGGGTGAGGGAGCCTACCAGTCGCCACCACTCCTTAGCACCACACTGGGTGCGCGGCCAATCGCGGTGCGGTCGCCCGGCTCCGAGGACATGAACTCGTTGCTGGCGTCCGCTTTGTCAGGCACCTCCTTTCCATGAAGCCTCGACTGTCATGGAGCAGCAGCAAGACTCGCGTGCCAAGATTTTAAGGGTCTATTAATATACGTTTATCGGAACCCTCAAAATATTCAATGTTTTCAACATTTGGTGTTATTTTGAAGGGTCCCTATTAATGTAATTTATGCGGACCCGCAAATTCTATATGTTTTGGCGAGGATTTTAAGGATTCCATTAATGTACTTTATGTGGACCCTCAAATTATAATATTTTGTAGATATTTAGTGTGTGATTTTTGAAGGTCCTATTAATGTACATCAATAAGGACCCTCAAAATATACATTGTTTTTCTGCCATTAGGTGCATACTTGGTGTGGATTTGAGGGTCCCTTTTACTGTACATTTATGAGGGACATCAAAATATGCAATGGTTTTCTCATAATTTGCAAAGTATGCATGTTTTCTCACACTTGGTGTGATTTTGAGGGTCCCTATTAATGTACATTTATGGGGACCCTCAAAGTATGCATGTTTTCTCACACTTGGTGTGATTTTGAGGGTCCCTATTAATGTACATTTATGGGGACCCTCAAAGTATGCATGTTTTCTCACACTTGGTGTGATTTTGAGGGTCCCTATTAATGTACATTTATGGGGACCCTCAAAGTATGCATGTTTTCTCACACTTGGTGTGATTTTGAGGGTCCCTATTAATGTACATTTATGGGGGCCCTCAAAGTAGACATTTTTCCGACATTTGGTGTGATTCTGGGGGTCTTTATTAATGTATATCAATGAGGACCATCAAAACATCATGTTTTCTCACATTTGCTGCAATTTTCGAAGGTCCCTATTAATGTACATTTATGGGGACTTCTCACACTTGGTGTGATTTTGAGGGTCCCTATTAATGTACATTTGGGACCTTCAAAGTATACATGTTTTCTCATGTTTTGTGTGATTTTGAGGGTCGTGATTTTGAGGGCCCCTATTAATGTACATTTATGGGGACCCTCAAAATATGCTTGGTGTATTTTTGAGGGCCCCTATTAATGTACGTCTATGGGGACCCTCAAAATATACATGTTTTCTCATGTTTGGTGTGATTCTGAGCGTCCCTATTAATGTACATTTCTGGGGACCATCAAAATATACATGTTTTCTCATGTTTTGTGTGATTTTAAGGGTCGTGATTTTGAGGGCCCCTATTAATGTACATTTATGGGGACCCTCAAAATATGCTTGGTGTATTTTTGAGGGCCCCTATTAATGTACGTCTATGGGGACCCTCAAAATATGCATGTGATTTTGAGGGTCCCTATTACTGTACATTTATGCATGTTCTTTTTTCACCCGGTGTGATTTTGAGGGTCCCTATTAATGTACATTTATGGGGACCCTCAAAATATACATGTTTTCCGACATTTGGTGTGAATTTTGATGGTCCCTATCAATGTACATCAATGGGGACCCTCAAAATATACATGTTTTCTCACATTTGGTGTGATTTTCAGGGGTCCCTATGAATGTACATTTATGGAGACCCTCTAAATATATTTGTTTCTCGCATTTTGGTGTGATTTTGATGGATTTTATTAATGTATATTTAAAATACACATGTTTGGTGTGATTCTGAGGGTCCCTATTAATGTACATGCGTGAATAAACCCTCAAAATTCACACCAAATGTCGGAAAACATGTGTACTTTGAGGGTCCCATAAATATACATTAATAGGGACCCTCAAAATCACACCAAGTGTGAGAAAACATGCATATTTTGAAGATCCCCATAAATGTACAGAAATAGGGACCCTCAAAATCACACCAAAATGTCCGAAAAAAATGTATATTTCAAGTCCCATAAAAAAAAACATCAAAATCACACCAAAATGTGAAAAAATGTATACTTTGAGGGTCCCCATAGACAGTAATAGGGACCTTCAAAAATCACACCAAAATGTCCGAAAACATGTATATTTTAAGTTTGAGGGTCCCCATAAATACACATTAATAAAAACCATCAAAATCACACAAAAATGTCAGAAAAATGTATACTTTTGCACATTAATAGGGACCCTCAAAATCACACCAAGTGTGAGAAAACATGCATTTTGAGGGTCCCCATAAATGTACATTAATAGGGACCCTCAAAATCACACCAAGTGTGAGAAAACATGCATATTTTGATGGTCACCATAAATGTACATTAATAAGGATCTTCAAAATCACACCAAAATGTCGGAAAACATGTATATTTTGAGGGCCCCCATATATGTACATTAATAGGGACCCTCAGCATCACACCAAACATGAGAAAACATGTGTATTTGAAAATATACATTAATAAAAAGAATCAAAATCACACTAAAATGTGAGAAAAATGTATATTTAGAGGGTCCCCATAAATGTACATTAATAGGGACCCCTGGACATCACACCAGATGTGAGAAGACATGCATATCTTAAGGGCCCCCATGGACGTACATTAATAGGGGCCCTCAAAAATACACCAAGCATATTTTGAGGGTTTCCATAAATGTACATTAATAGGGACATTCAAAATTGACCAAGTGTGAGAAAACATGCATATTTTGAGGGTCCCCAGAAATGTACATTAATAGGGGCCCTAAAAATCACGACCCTCAAAATCACACAAAACATGAGAAAACATGTATATTTTGAGGGCCCCCATAAATGTAGATTAATAGGGACCCTCAGAATCACACCAAACATGAGAAAACATGTATATTTTGAGGGCCCCAATAAATACACATTAATAAAACGCATCAAAATCACTCCAAAATATGAGAAACATGTATACTTTGAAGGTCCCCATAAATGTGCATTTTTAGGGACCCTCAAAATCACACCAAGTGTGCACCAAATGTGAGAAAACATGTATATTTCGATGGTTTTCATTGATGTACATTAATAGAGACTCCCAGAATCACACCAAATGTCGGACAAATGTATACTTTGAGTCTCCCCATAAATGTACATTAAAAGGGACCCTCAAAATCACACCAAATATCACAAAATATGTATATTTTGAGGGTCCACATAAATGTACATTAATAGGAATCCTCAAAATCCTGCCAAATGTGAGAAAACATGTATACGTTGAGGGCCCCCATAAATGTTGATAGGGACCCCTAGAATCACATCAAACATGAGAAAACATGTATATTTTGAGGGCCCCCATAAATGGAGCCTCCAAATCACACCAATTATGAGAAAACATGCATATTTTGATGGTCCCCATATCTTTTGCGAAGGCGAAAATTAGAGTCTTTTAGCCTCTCTTGGTCCCCCCCGAACGAAAACTGCGGGAAGAGGGCGCCGCTCAAACCCAGCCACATCTCTGGCTCAAGCGGATGGTGGTCAAACAACATCCGGCGCGCAACGCCGTAATCCGACGCGTCGTCGTTCAGCCAATCTCCTGCGAAGCCGCCGCTGAACTTCTGCTGGTACGTGGACACGTATCGAAACAGAGCGCCGCGGCCGTCCGCCTGGAGCACATCTTCGTGACACTTTGTCACTTGCAGCACCTCCGGAAAATAGGCGCGGACGTGACGATCGCGGTCTTCCTCGTTGTGGTGGAGCAACACCTTCTGGCCAGCCTCGTCCCACATAGACGGCTCCTCCCGAACGGGGACTTGGCCCTTCTTCCGATCAAGCTGCGAGCACGCTGGCCACTGCGGCCGCCAACTACGGCCTCAAGACGGTGGTGGACCAGCACTCCCTCGACATCGCAGCAAGGATCACGCCGCTGGAGGTTGACACCAAGGTGGCCAACGCTCTCCTGGGCGTCGTGTCCGCAGCGCTGGCCTCCAAGCTCGCAAGCCAAGACGCCTCCATCTCGGGCCTGCAGGCCTCCAAGGCGGACGCCAGCGCCCTGACCGCGTACGCCCTGCAGTCGGCCGTCTCCTCGGAGGTGGACTTAAAGATCGCAGCCGCCCTTCTGGACGCAGTCACCACGGTCGATCACAACGCCGCGGCTCAAAAGCTCTCGTGCAGGATCGGGAAGGCTGGCGCTCAACTTCTTTTCCAACTTGATGGAGCCGACGTTGCGGAGGAAGTCGAGCGAGTGAGAGTGGACCGCCCCTTGCCCGTGGTAGCGCTGCGTCCCCGTCTTTGCGCTTGCCGTCCTGAAACTCCAGCCGCGAAACAAAGTTAACGACGGTCTGCGCGCCCGATCCGTCAGCAGCGCCGAGCAAGCGCTCCTTCCAGTTCTCGCCCGCGGTCCGGCGGTTCATGCCACTGAAGTAACCGCGGTCAAACTCCTTGAGAACATGGGCCTCGTGCGGCGCGCGCGTCCTGAAAAGAAATGGCAGGCCAATTTGGCGCTGGAGATCAGCAGGGCTAAGTGCCGCGCGCGCCAGTACTCCGGAGAGAAGGACGCATTCTTTAAGGCCAGCCGCAGCGGAACTCCTTTTGCTGAATTCTTTGTTCCACCCAGCGTGCTCCACATGACTAAGTCATACACAAACCCCAACACTTTCTGAAGAAACGAACCCAAATGCTCTGCCGACCCTTCCGCAACTTGCGAGCGCCCGGCTCATCTTCCTTGCTCCCGTCTGAGCCGGCCTCCTCAAAGTCATCCTCCTTGCCTGCCCCGTCCGGCTTGCTGGCGGCGTTCGTCGCTCAGACGAACCGCTGTCTCGCAGAGCGACGCCTCCCAATACAAGTGTGGCCACAGGGCGCACTCCAAACCTCCTCCAGAAAACGGAGTGGCAACTTGCGTTGCTTCTTGTCGGCGTCAGGGCGCACTAACAAAAAGAGGCGATGCTTCTCGAGGAAATCTGCGTAGGCAGATGGACTATCGTCCTCCAGGAGGTAGCGGAAGGCTCGCCGCAGAAGTAGGACAGCCTTTCAACGTTGCAGGTGAGGACACCACCATCTCCGAGGTTACCAAAGCCTACTTCGCTCGCAAGCTCAAGCGTACGTGATTGGACAGGAGTTCGAACGCAGTGTGCTTACTCTTGAGTCAGAAGCCAGCCGTATCCACGAATCAGCACTTTCGA